TTTACCTCTTCCTCAGCACCTGGAAGCTGCGGAAACGGTTTGCAGCCTTTGATGCGTACAGTTTCCACCCACGGGTTGCCAACAAGTAGAGCCTCGGATGAACTATGGCGGTCCTCCGGACATTCTGCCAGCAGCCATAAGCTTGTCAGTGATGGAATCAATCTAATTCTACGCGTTTCATTTAAATACCTGGAGTTTTGGTCCACGAGGGCAGCATAAGGAATCAAGAACGATGAACCGTCAGGGACAATGACGAGTTCGTCACCTATCGAGTGTGAAATTGGAGCGATGAATATGTCGTATAATACTTTTAAAGCACCACCCTGGTCTTCGATCTCTCTCTGCAGCTGGGGGCGAATCTTTTTCCACAGGCTTTTGTTCACACCAATCTGTTTGTATGTTTGGTAAGTCATTGATGTCAATTCATCACTGCTAACTTCCTGTTGCACAAAGTCACAAAGCTTTCCCCACTTTAACAGCATCCAGATATTCACTGACTGGGTATCATTCATTAGAAATAACGTGGGTGACGAAATATGGTTTGAAATGATAAGTTCCATCTGCTGTTTCGGCTGTGAACGAATCGATTTCCTGACACCATATTGCGATTCCAAGAGGTCCATAAGAGCTTCTGCTCGTCCCCTCTCAGCTGTTAAAAGCGCCTCGAGTGTCTTACGTTCAGTGCGTTGTTGTAACTGTAGTCTCACTAAACGACTAACGCAATCACGTTCATTCCGAAAGCTGATTTTCCACTCGTCGTTTCCTTCAAGAAGGACTCTCATTTCCTCTACCAGTTCAATACAGGATTTAAAACACTCCTCGGCTTTGGAGTACTCGTCAAGACACCAAAGAACTTGAGCAAGTCTATCATATCCGCATTGTTCAACATCTTTGTTTCCAGTCTCCTTTGCTATACTTGTGGCTAGCTGATAAAATTCCATCGCTCTTTTGGAATTACCGAGACGCTTATAGACATCGCCGAGGTTTATATATGTAGGTCCTCCTCCATTTTTCATCCCAATATCTTTTTTGATTCTTAGACTCAGCTCATAAAGCTCGATCGCTTTATTAAAATCACCGAGAGACTGATTGACGACGCCAAGGCTGTTATATACAGCTGCTTCTTGATATTTGTTTTCAGTATCTTTTGCGATTCTTAGAGCCAGCTGATTAAACTCCATTGCTTTTTGGAAATCACTAAGAGAATTATAGGCGCCGCCAAGGTTGTTATAAGTACTTCCTTCTCCATCTTTGTTTCCAGTATCTTTTGCGATTTTTAGAGCCAGCTGATAAAACTCGATTGCTTTTTTGAACTCACTGAGAGACTGATAGGCACCGCCAAGGTTGTTATATATAGTTCCTTCTTGATCTTTGTTTCCAGTATCTTTTGCGATTTTTAGAGCCAGCTGACAAAACTCGATTGCTTTTTTGAACTCACTGAGAGACTGATAGGCACTGCCAAGGTTGTTATATATAGTTCCTTCTTGATCTTTGTTTCCAGTATCTTTTGCGATTTTTAGAGCCAGCTGATAAAACTCGATTGCTTTTTTGAACTCACTGAGAGACTGATAGGCAAGGCCAAGGTTGTTATATATAGTTCCTTCTCCATCTTTGTTTCCAGTATCTTTTGCGATTTTTAGAGCCAGCTGATAAAACTCGATTGCTTTTTTGAACTCACTGAGAGACTGATAGGCACTGCCAAGGTTGTTATATATAGTTCCTTCTTGATCTTTGTTTCCAGTATCTTTTGCGATTTTTAGAGCCAGCTGATAAAACTCGATTGCTTTTTTGAACTCACTGAGAGACTGATAGGCAAGGCCAAGGTTGTTATATCTCGCTCCTTCTCCATCTTTGTTTCCAGTATCTTTTGCGATTTTTAGAGCCAGCTGATAAAACTCGATTGCTTTTTTGAACTCACTGAGAGACTTATAGGCACTGCCAAGGTTGTTATATATAGTTCCTTCTTGATCTTTGTTTCCAGTATCTTCTGCGATTTTTAAAGCAAGCTGATAAAACTCGATTGCTTTTGTGAACTCATTGAGAGACTGATAGTCACAGCCAAGGTTGTTATATATAGTTCCTTCTCCATCTTTGTTTCCAGTATCTTTTGCGATTTTTAGAGCCAGCTGATAAAACTCGATTGCTTTTTTGAACTCACTGAGAGACTTATAGGCACGGCCAAGGTTGTTATATATAGTTCCTTCTTGATCTTTGTTTCCAGTATCTTTTGCGATTTTTAGAGCCAGCTGATAAAACTCGATTGCTTTTTTTTGAACTCACTGAGAGACTGATAGGCACTGCCAAGGTTGTTATATATAGTTCCTTCTCCATCTTTGTTTCCAGTATCTTTTGCGATTTTTAGAGCCAGCTGATAAAACTCGATTGCTTTTTGAACTCACTGAGAGACTTATAGGCACTGCCAAGGTTGTTATATATAGTTCCTTCTTGATCTTTGTTTCCAGTATCTTTTGCGATTTTTAGAGAGCCAGCTGATAAAACTCGATTGCTTTTTTTTTTGAACTCACTGAGAGAATAGGCACTGCCAAGGTTGTTATATATAGTTCCTTCTTGATCTTTGTTTCCAGTATCTTTTGCGATTTTTAGAGCCAGCTGATAAAACTCGATTGCTTTTTTGAACTCACTGAGAGACTGATAGGCACGGCCAAGGTTGTTATATATAGTTCCTTCTTGATCTTTGTTTCCAGTATCTTTTGCGATTTTTAGAGCCAGCTGATAAAACTCGATTGCTTTTTTGAAATCACTCAGATGGTGATAGGCGAGGCCAAGGTTGCCAAGGCTAACTGTTTCTGCGTTTTTATTCCTGATCTCTCTGGCTTCATTCAAAGTCATCTCGAAGTAATCCCGGGCTATTTTAAAATCACCGCGTTTAAAGGCTTTTTCTCCAAGGTAATTACTGTACAACCAATTTGTTATGGAAGTTTGTTCGGGTTTTCCATGTTTACCTTTACTTCCTGGGCATGCCTAGAAAAAAATGTAAAACAAACCCTCTTTTGAAGCAAGTTATGGTATAGAAGATGTTTTTAATGTAAAGTTATACCCTTTGTGAGGAAGAAAATAGCCCGCAAGATTTTTTGTGGCAATCAACTCTCCCCTTACGGATACCTCGATATTTCGGACGACCCCTGCTAACACAGCCAAATCCCCAGCAATACAAACTCCCGCTATTACTCGCTTGAGCCAGATTGTGGCTTTGAAATAAATTAGCTCATGATATAGCTCGGACAGCAAGTTTCTAGAGTATATATACTCAAGTATAGAGGTATTACCAATGAACTTTATTTCTTAAGCGGATAAATCTACAAGAGCTGATATTTGACCAATCCGCCTTGACTTTGGCGGCTCACGAAGTAAGCCAAAAGTCCATTTATTTTCGCGGCTTTAAAATTTATCGTACAGAGAATCAAAGGGCGTTTTACATTCAGCCAAAACTTTCGAAAATTTGGAAACAGCGGCAAATGGTATAGAGATTTTCCGGAAAAGTTTCTGGAAATACCGGAAGCTGTTGAATCGGTCCGAAATGGGAACCATTCAACCAAAAATTATACCTGGAAATCCCGGGAGCAAAAATGAATGGAAAGAAATCTTCCGTTAAAAATTTTCGAAAATTTGGGTATACCTCGCGAGGTTGTCTCTCGGTTTTGGAAGTTTTGAAAAATACTATTCCGTTTGCTACTGGAAGTTGCCGAAAATTCAAACTGGACATTTTGGTTGAAGAGAAAGCGCCCAAAGTTTCTTTAAGAAAATTATTTTTCCGCCACTGTTTTTTTTTCTAATGGTTATGAATTAATATTTACTTTAACTGGGCAATTCTGTAAAAAAGACATTAACTTCGATCAATAGCTCAAACCCTTGAAATATCATATGTGACTTTTTCAAGCTCCATCATCGGTTGAATCGAAATTAATTCGATGCAAGAAAGACGAACTAACCATTCACTGTAAATTAACCTCCGCCAAAAAGGAACGAATAGTGGTATTCGGCTGTTGAATCTCTTCTATCAGAATCAACCATGTAATATCAGTAATATCAAAGGTCACTTCGACCGCTTAATCAAAACAATTCAAAATGCTATTTTATAGAAATAAAACAAAATACCTCGTTTTCCACGGCTCTTCTACTCGTCGCTTTTTTCCTTAGTTCAAGCAACGTGGTGTTTTCTTCGGCGATCTTCCAAATTGTTAAGGTGTAAATAGTAATTTCGAAATTAAGTTGAAGTAAAGTATACTACCCCTTATGAGCAGCCTAAAGTTAAAAACAAAAAAAATACGGTCAAACCTGCATATAGCGGCCCTGTATATAGCGGTCACCCAGTATACTACGGCTACTGGACAACTCTCCGAATATATTGCCATATATGTTCTGTAAGTTGATCTGTTTAAAACGGTCTCCTCTCTATAACGGATGCGGTCACCCTTTAGACTCCCAAAATGCACAATTCGATTATATTTTTTACCTGTTTATAACGGTCCACAAATTGGAATACGATCAAATAAAGGATAGAATTCAAGATGTGTGCTCCAAAGTAGATGGAAAAATGAATGCTAGCAAAATCGTCGAATCAGTTAACCTTTTCATGGCAATCGAATGGGAGACCTACAAGCGTTGAACGAACTCAATATCCAGTTGAATTTAAAGGAAACTTATATATATATATATATATAGCGGTCACCCATTTCTCAAGGCTGAGAGTTATATATAGGTTTGAATGTACGCAGCATTTTCCCTGCAACATGGTTATAAAGAGGGGATAATCCTCTCTTGTTAATATTGAAACGCTAACAAGACTAATATTGTTGACACTGTTATTGCTACACAAACTTTTTAAAAACTAACTTTTATTAGAAATTCCACTTTTTCTGTGCTTTTGTGGTCGCTTTTGAACAAACAAAGAAATAGAGAAAAATATCGCGTACTGTTGTGTAATTCGTACTGAAGAAGTTTAGATAACTAAGCACCGCCCTCAAATAAGCACTGAACCG